ATCTGTTTAAGCTTATTAAAAGGTTTGACCACTTTTGTCAAAATTCTTCTTTAAAGCTAGCTCCTTTCAGCTGGTATTTTCCAAATATTTTAAAGCTAACAGAAATGTGCCTTACAGAATGCACCTTGCAGCTATTTGATGCATCTCCTATAAAGATATCAAAAAGCTTCAAAGCACTTCACGAAATGCTTAAAGGGAGAAGGAGATAACAGATTACTCCAAGACAGTTCCATAAATGTGTTACTATTACTTACTTATCCTCACAAAAGTTTTTTAGTGCTGAGGGTGTGCGCACTGTTGAGGGTGGCACTCAAACAGCACAAAGTGGACAAATGTGACTGATGAATCACAACTTTCTCAGTGACACATGAAACAGTTCTTTCTATCTGAGGAAGTAAGTTGCTGCAGATGGAAAATTTAAAAGTGAAGAGCAATGCACAGATGGGGGAATGGAAGCAAAGCATTTCTCCAGCAGGCTCTCATCTGGCACAGCATTAAGCTGCACTTAAATAACAAACCAGCTAAGTAGCACATGGACTCTGTGTCTTAGAGGGGCTAGACATTTGTATAGATGACACCATATACTTGGATTTCAAAAAGGCCTTTGACTTGGTCTTCCACAATGTCCTCATGGTTAACTTGATAAATTGCAAGCTCAACACTTAATGGTCCAGTGGCTGGGAAACTGGCTCTGAGGTCAGACCCAGAGAGTGTTAATAAACAGAACCAAGTTGACATGGCACATGGTGACCAGTGGTATACCTCAAGGCTCAGTACTCAGACCAGTGCTTTTCAACATTTTCATCAACAATTTGGATATGGGTGTGGAAGGTGTACTGGCAAAGTTTGTGGGTGACACTAAGTTATGGGGGAGTACCATCATGCTGGAAGACAGGCTGAGGATAAAGGCTGACCTGGACAGGCTTCTAAAGTAGGAAGATCTAAACCTGATGATGTTTAACAATAAGAAATATAAAGTGCTTCATCTGCGGAGAAATAATCCACAACATACTTACAGGCTCAGTGGTGCTACACTAGCCAGCACCACAACTGAAAGAGATCTGGGGATCATGACCGATCACAAAATGAACATAAGCCATGGAGGAAACTGGTAGCAGCCTTTAGGTATATAAGGGGTGAACATCAGGGACTAGGAGAACATCTGGTCACCAAGGCACCCCAGGTGAAGACTAGGAATAACGGTCATAAACTGATAGAAGACCACTTCAGATTAAACATAAGAGAAAACTTCTTTACAGTTTGTGTGTCTGGAGTCTGGAACAGACTCCCCCCAGAGGTGGTATAATCACCTTCCCCAGATCTTCAAAAGATGACTGTACGCACACCTCATTGGAGTCATCTGACCTCAGCAGTCTTTCTTGCCTTAGAGCGGGGGGGCTGGACCTTCCAGCCCCTAACTTGTATGAATCTATGAAAGCTAAAAACAAGCCATAGGACACAGGACTACCAAAGATCCAGGGCTGTCTCAAAAGCCCTGATAATTAAAACTGAAGCTAGAACTGAAGCAAGCAGAGAAGCACAGATAGACTAGTCAAACCAAAGCAATGGACAGAGTGGAAAAACTGGGCTGTTAATATATGCACATAGGCAAAAGAAGAATTCACTCACTGCAGACTGTAGTGCTTAAAAAAAATTGGCTACCAATATGACGTTTCAGTTCACTTTACTCTGTTTTATCAGGCTTTAAATTTTACCTAAGCTCTCCATCATATCTCAGCTATGCCTATTTCCATTCCTCCCAGCTATATTTCCTACGCATTTTCATCTAATTTTGCCTATAGGTG